GACGCATACATATCCTTCACTTGATCTAATTCCCCTTACCTAATCCTACCTTAATTCATTAACTCATCACCCCCTTTATCTATCTTTAACCTCTCCATTATAACATAAAAACTAACTACTATCTCAACCGCCCTTCACTACCCAATACCTTCCTATAGTGCTACATGACCTTAGATGTCTAGCACATTTATTTTTTGCTTTTAACCAACCATTAAAATGGAATTCAATCAAGGTGACATTCCTCTTCCTGAGGAACCAACTCTAGTGATGCAGGTGGCTCCCGCTACTACCAACAGTGAACCCCGACAGAGACCACAACGTGCAGCGGCTAGACGAGCTCAAGAATCCTGTGTGAAATTAATCCTTGAAGGATCTCTCTAAATGTCTGCAACTTTGTTTTGGGGAGGATGTATGAAGTTCTAAACAATAATGTTGATATTCAATAATGTATACCTTTTCTGTTGTAAATTATAATTAATACATTTTATTTATATGTACCTAAAGATAATGAAGAAAAAACACTACCAAGTTAGTTTCAGACGAGCCATCTTTTCATCAGAGCGGCTCAGTTAATATTGTTTGACTTTATTTTTTGTGTTCTATTGGTGATTTGGCATGTATGAGTGTAAATTTTGAATAATAAAGTGGGTGGAACTCTTTCTACTGTATTTGGTGATTTATTTGATCGGAATTCCTTGGATACTGATATGGGAAAGAGAGTTTACACTGGGTGGATGGATCTATGATAACCATACCATTCCTATGCCAATCAAAATATGGAGAGCGCTGATCCATGTCTGAGCGGTCGTCCTAAGTAATTGTCCAGGTGGAGAATTAAAGTAGTAGTGCTCATTAATTGAATGGTCAAGTTAACACTTCCCCACAAAGGTAGTGGATGGCTGAAGGTGAACTAAGATTCAATATTCTCCCCAGGTTCTTTGGATGTACAAAGCCAGCGGGTTGTATGTTAATATAGATTTAACGAACTAGCGAACAATTTTACGATGGCCTCTGGGAGGAATAGCGTAGCACTGTACTGTCATTGTATCATAGTCAGCTAAGTAGGCAAGCAGATCGTTTTCACAGCCTGAACCATTCCTTGTATATAGGGTAATCAGCCGAGGATGTAATGATTAGGTGTGAACAATCTGAACAGCTGCAAAAAGAAACTGCCTACTTCTTCTTGAAGACATTGTTGGAAGAGGAAGGCATTGTCAGAGTAAGGGGCGACAGGGGGAATCGCAAAGAACGATCCCGTTTGGCTGGGCTAAAAATTGCACTCGAAAGGTTTGGCAGAGGTGGAAGCAGTAGAATGAAGAGGGGGTGGTGTAGAGTGAGGTAGTACTGCAGGGAGGAGGGCAATAAGGAATAGTAGTGATAAGGGAGTAGGGGGTAGACAACGAAGAAGACTATGCAGATGATAATGAAGTGTAAGAAGGGGTGTATTCCGAAAGTTGAGTAATGACTTGGTTGAATGATTTACACTTTTCGCTTCCGTGCTTCACCATAATGCTATACTACATTTTGATGTCTGGTACATTTGTTTTTGACCACTGACCATTCTGGAAATCCACAAACATTGCTTTGTGAACCAATAAATTTTCATACCTGGGGACTTCGCCCCCCCAAGCCCCACCCTATCATATTTTGTATATGCTGCTAATGACCTTAGATGTTGATGCAGTAAAAAAAAATCAATAAATAAATAGATAGTGGACTCAAACACCTTTTGTTCTTTATGTTCTGTGGCTGATTTTTCATATTTTTCCTTTGCTTCACCCTCAATCCCATGTTTAATGACCTGTCCCCTCTACTTCCCCCTCGACTTCCCAGGGTACCCAAGACCCTAGTGGTAATCGACTGTGCCAAGTTTGACCTGCGCCCAGAAAATAACGACAATAGTGTAGTGCCCACAGAGCAAACGATTCCGACCCTTACCGCCTAATATTTTATAACTACATGTTAATTTATATCTTGATTATACTCAAAATGTTTGTTAAAAAATCCTTGTTCTCAATCACTAAGTTTGTAATCATTATTGTTGTTGATACTGTAGTTATCCAGTGTTCATGATTTAATTGTATTGTCATACCCAGTGTAACTGACCAGACCTGTGACCACAAGACCCTTACCCTGTTGTAAACCAGAGAGCCAGTATTGACATTTCCCACGAAAGAACAATGTTGCCATATTCTTATGTTAGTGAATATTTTGTGAACCATTTGAAATCTCGGAGAGCCGAAGTCACTCTGCCCTCAGCATCGGCTCAGGCAACACCTCAAGTTCCAGCTCTCTCTCGAGACCGCTCGCCTGCGGGCGTGGCACGAGGCCTCGCTCCTCCTTGGGCGACTCTGCCACGCCTGACCTCTGTATCCCACCTACCACGCTACCGCAGAATAAAGTATTGAAGCTGTATCAACTTTAACTATCAACTCCACGACACTTCACTCCAAGAAACAAACGGCTGTACCATACTAGAAAAGAGAGAGAGGAAGTCCACAAGTACATTACACCATGTCTGCTATTGCTTGGGGGGGGGGGCAGAGACTGAGGCCCGATGGTAGGGATCTCCCCTACCTTGGAGCTCAGCTCTTGACTTATGAATTATTATAATTCTCTATTTAGTTGTCTAGCCCTTTCCCCTCAAGGGGACCCTGAGGGGTGGACCGTTTCTCTCCCCAACCTTCTCCAAGCTTACCATGGCCAATAATGAAGATTTTAAACCTTTATTATGGACAATGAGGCTTGCCCCTTTATCAACTAGTCTCACTGAGTTTAATTCCCACAGTTCCCTGACCCCAGGCTCTCCTTTACCCACAATTCTGAACACTACTACACTACTACTCACTCCTCAATATCTGTTGGCGGCATTGAGTCTGGGTCTGAGGTGGTAATTCTCAGATTCAAACTTGGCCTTTCAGACAGTGAAGTCAGACAAACATACAGACAAGGTTTATCTCTTACTACTGTACTCCATTCCTACCTCCCCCCCCACGTATCTCTTCCTCATCACCTGTCTTCCACCTCCCTCTCCCAGTCAAATTCTTTGCCATTCTATATCCAGCCACCCCAATCTCTACCACTATTCTAAATCCAGACACTCCAATCTCTACCTCCCCAGTTGCTACCCCTCCTTCTCCTCACTCAACTCATCACTCAAAACAAGCTAAACGTTCCACCCTATTTCCTTCTGCATCCTCTCCTGCATCAGTCTCTTCCTCTGCACCTCAAACATCTGTCCCCTCTTCTGCCCCTCATATAAAGACCTTCGCTTTTCATACCTCCCCAACAAACTCCACTTTAGAAACTCTTTGAGGACATTCAGAACTATATATCCATGATCCATGATGACATATCTACACCTCATTCATTCTCCAATCTTTCTGCACTCATTTCCTCTGCACTTAAACTATCCATCCATCCTCCTACACCCCTTCCTCCCACTCCTAACACATGCCATTCCCTCCTGCTTCGTCTATATCACCGTCTCCCCCTTCTTCTGTGTTATCCCTTCCTCCTGGAGACACATGTGACCCCCTTTTGTCACAACAATCCCTTTCTCTGGATTTTCTCCCTCCTGACATTTCCCCTGAAACCTAATTATCCTTGGTAATCTTTAACTTAATCCATTTACTCTCACTCCACCCTCACCCCTTTCATTGCCATACTATCCGGAACTACTAAACGAGTTTTGACACGTAGCCTGTTTAATCACTAACTAACCCTCTCTCTTTACCATTTTCACCAAACCTTTTTATACTGCTAGCACATTTATTTTGCTTTATAACCATTAACCATTGCCCATTGTTGCTTCAGTATGGCATTGTTTTTAATTAGGCTTGCATGGTTTGCCAATGAAGTATTATTTTGTTATATCTCTGTAATTTATGTGCTAGACATCAAAGCATTATAGGAAAGTATAGTAGTAATAAGGGTAAAGAGTTGGTTAAAGGATTTAATTAGATGTGCTACACGTCAAAAGTTGTAAGAACATGAGGGAAGGAGTGTGGGTGGGTAGGTGGGTGAATGGGTGGATGGATGTTAACAATCACTTTGATTATAGAGGAAATGGAGACTGAGAGGGTGGATGAGGGATGGGCATGTCTTTTTTTTTCTTCTTCTTTTTGTCATTGATCAGACTTTTTTGAATATCCACAAGTCTCTGAAAGGGAGTTGGTTGGGGAGCTCTGAGAAACACGAGCAGAGGAAGAGGAAGGTGTATGAGAGAATACAGTAGGAGAAAGGTGGGGTTGGAACATTGAGAGCAGGAGTGTCAAACATGTGGCCTGCCTCACTCCTATGTGTGGCCTGTGACACATGTGCTATTTCTGTCTTACAGACTGTCATGAATAATGAAGCCAGTCCTTTGTCTTCAAGATTATCACTTGTGTTCCAACAGGCTTTTTCTCTTGTTGTGTTTTTGCAAGTAATAAAATTTCCTCCATATGGCTGTTTCATTGTGTCAACTCATGGTTATCTAAAATAATTAATCTTTTATTCCATTTGTTACAATGAATATTCTTAGTGTGACATGCTGTCTGTTTCATTTTGCTTTTATATTATCTTGTGTGCAAGGAATGGCTGGGGTTACCTTCCACTGGCAGGACGGGATCAGAATTACCATCACCATTTCGGTTTTCATCAAGATTATCACTGATCATTTAATATTATAGAGCATTTTTTTTTTTTTTTTTTTTTTTTTTTTTTGTTAAATATCACTAGTTTGTTAAAATAGTCTGGTGATCAGATACTACTGTAAAAAAGACATTAAAAACATTACAGCATTTTGAACAATACTTTGATTTCTAAATTCAGATAAGGAAAATGTTGATCATTTTCCGTTCAGATAACTATGAACAAAACATACATTAGAAAAGATATTTTTTTGTAAAACAATACACTGTGAAGTTTTCAAATGCAAATGAGATGAAGTACTTACAAAACAAAATATTTGCATTTCCATTTCAGTATTACAATAAAAAGCGTTAATGATACAAGTATTAATAGCAGACATTTTATTTTTACCACACTGGAGTACAGACAAGCTTAGTCATACGTAATCACAATAAAAAAGCTGACCTTATATTAACACACGGGTAGGGGCAGACACAGCTACAATAGGTTTATATAAATGCTCTCATCATTCATTGTACACGAAAAGAAAACAGGGTTGTCTACTTATATTTTTTTTCTAAATGTGTAAAATAAGTTCATAGTAAGGAATGTTATACAGATTGTGGATAACAAAACCGATGAGATAGACATAAAAGTCTATGTAGTTGTTGTTTTTTTTTCCTCTAGTGGTAAGTGAGAGCTCTGCTTTTGATACAGAAGATCACTCTCTCCATTAAATGCTACACACATTATAATCCTCAAGCACAGCCAAAACTCTCACATAGCAATTGATGTTAAAATGTTTACATTAATATATTTACAACTTTTTTTCAAGCAGAAAGCAGTGTCTGTGGATAAGAATAAAAGTAAAAAAAAGAAAAGAAAAAAAATCCAATGCTATCATGGGTAGTGTGCCCGCCCATATGATATCAACCACGTGCTGTCTTATGCAAAAATGGTGAGCCATACAGCAGTCAAATTCTTAAATGGCACTTGAGCAGAGGTAAGTACTTGAATGTTATATTACTGATTAAGTTACTGGTTGCTGGCTTTACAGTAAATAACTAGGTATATATTTGGAGTGAAATTACTTTCAAAACCTGTGTAAGGCTTATATTATTTATAAAATATCTAAAAATGATGAATGGCATTTGCAGAATTAGGAATATAGCCAGTATAGAAAGTAATATCCAAAGTGTGCTATAAAGTAGATTTCAATAAATAAGACATTTCTTTCACCTAAGTGTCATTTCAGAATTTGCAATACTCCTCTGTCACAAGAGCCTTGTTACATTTGATGCAACTTGAACTCTAAGACACAGTTATGGAAAAGGGGTGACAAGATGACAGTCACGAGCCCAAGCATGGGTGCAGTAATGACAACATACCGACTCTTAGAACAACCATAGTCAAGGGTCATGACTGGGCATCCAATCACAATTTAGAGTTGAGTGTTCAGACCATTGACCCAGTATGTATATGTTGTCATATCAACTGGGCAAATATCATCCTATTATCATTAAAATACAGAACTACTGTGTAAGAATTCAGTTTATACTTATCTAGTTAAGGCATTTGCCCAGGTTGATATGACACAACCATGAAAAAAACTTCAAAGAAACTCTTCATAAGCTCCGTCAATCTTAGAGAGCAAATAATTAAAATGTTTGTACAGTCACTGGTAAATAAGAATTGAAAATATCAATTATATACTAAAGTGCACTGATTTTAATTATCTAGAAATTACAATTTGGTCCATTATAAATCTCAAAATATTAACCATAAGCCATTTTGTAGACTCTACATTGCACCTAATCATATGCAATACATTTTCTAATGTAAGAAAACAACAAAATTTCTTTAATTCTGGGTAGTGTTGATATTCAGCCAAGAGCAATATGTAAAAATTATTTGCAAAATGTCCATATATCAAATTCACTTAGCAACTGAGATGAATTACAGTACTTTGAAATGGGCATCACACGTCTCAGTTTCGTAATTGGCTATGCTATATGACTAGGCCTAGTTGAAAGTTTTCCTGGAGACGATGCAATGTTGTGTTAGCTGCAAGCCATTGGATTGCCTAATATTTTTTATTCCCTTTTCCTTGAGGTATAAAAAGAACCAAAATATAATTACATACATAGAGGCAATACCAAGTGCACAGTATCCACAGGAATAACTTGTCCCAGACATCAAATCCAAAGATTGCGATTAATTTGTGAACATTAAAGTATTATCCTTTACATGATAAGGCTATGATCAGCACAGCAAAGATGGCAAAGTCTTCCATGCACACATTTAAAATCATTATATATATTTTTTTTACCTTGCAGTGTAAAACAAAAAATACTGCCTGACTCTTTTCCATGACCATTTGATGAACTATATATTCATAAAAAGGGAGGAGTCTAAAATATATGACTATTTTGCTGATGCTTTCACAATATGAGAATCACATAACTCTTCCATCAGTACATAAATGAACATGAAGTTTCTTGCACACAAGTAATGCTGGATTATAACAGGCATTCACATTTACTACTGACCCTCATTCTAAACATTATTTCTCTAAATTTACCATATGCAGTCACAAAAAGGACGTCAATAAGAAGTCATTTTGTTACTACGCATTATTCTACTCTCAAAATAGTTCATGGTACCTGAAAACCAGAGAATAAGAGTCCACACGCTGCTAATATATTTCTAGTGATGAATTAATCCTAGCCTCTTTGTCTACTTATCATTCACTTTCTTTGGCAAACTTTATTTCAACCCATTGCAATTATTCTTGAAAAGCTTTTTCTCATTCTCTTGTTTAGTTTTATTTTCCTTGTTGCAGCTTAAGTCCTTTATTACATGTAGTAGAAGTATTACTCACTCACTCCTCAAAGTTTTACAAATCTTCTAGCCTGTCTATTTAAGTGTAAATATGAAGACTAGCAGAAGACAAAGGTCTACACTGGGGAATCCTTTGTTACACTACTCTTGGACTCGCTCTTTTTCAGCTTCTCCTCTTCCTCCTTTTGCTCCTCCTTCAGGATCTCTTCTTTGTCATCCTTTTCGCTGTGGAAATACAACAGAGGCGTAAACATCACCAAAAAGTTGAGAATCTCAAAATTGTGATTTAAATTTCATGCAAACTGAATTTATTGTAATTTTAAAATGGAAGAATTAAATTATTAAAAAATCATTCCTAAAAAAAAGTTACTGGATATAAAATGCAAGTATAAAAAATGTGATTTTTGAAATAAAAAAAACAAAACAAGAACAAAAAATAAATTACAAACCACCAAGAAATTTTGTTGTAAGTACCAACCTAAAACAGAAGCCATTCTAACTCTACCCCATTAGCATGCAAGCATTTAGATGATAGTTGGTTGTTGGTATGACCGTTGGCTGGAATCTGTGCTTAACAAGCTGCCAAGAGATCTTGCAGATGTCATTGACTGCGGACTGTATGTTCTTGAGCTCTGGCTGTCTTGTGAGGGATAATGTGCAGCATCGAGATTATCCATGCTCTGACTGTGGTTCTGCGGCTGAGGACGTTCTCGGAAGTGTAGAGTTGTTACCGTTTTTAGAGGTTTCTTGTTCTCTTTATTTTCAGTGGAGGGTGGTGGGGCTGGTGGTGGTACCGAGGGCCGGATAGGTGGTGGGACATGATTCTGTGGTGCTGAAGCATCAGGGCTGAAGGTGTGGCCTGATGGTTGTCCTGGTAACCTGGACATAGGTTTTGGTTGAACTTCTCTACCAGCATCAGGTCTCCTTGCTGGACCTGGTGACACTGGATCATCATAGGGTGCAATTTCAAATGCAGTTTTGGGTTTTGCATCATATTGAGGAGTCTGAATTGGTTGATAGAGCGTACTTAGTGAGCTCTGACTTGGGGATCTCCTAGGACTATTTATTGTCTCATATATACCAGACTGGCTGGTATTACTTGACAGCATTGGACTTCCTGTCCCATTCCTCAATGACATGTTGTAGGGAGGTCTTGGTGCCTGATTCAGTGCCTCTCTGCTTGCTGACATGTTGTAAGGAGGTCTTGGTGCCTGATTCAGTGCCTCTCTGCTTGCTGACATGTTGTAGGGAGGTCTTGGTGCCTGATTCAGTGCCTCTCTGCTTGCTGACATGTTGTAGGGAGGTCTTGGTGCCTGATTTAGTGCCTCTCTGCTTGCTGACATGTTGTAGGGAGGTCTTGGTGCCTGGTTTAGTGCCTCTCTGCTTGCTGCATCTGACATGTTGTAAGGAGGTCTTGGTGCCTGATTCAGTGCCTCTCTGCTTGCTGACATGTTGTAGGGAGGTCTTGGTGCCTGATTCAGTGCCTCTCTGCTTGCTGACATGTTGTAGGGAGGTCTTGGTGCCTGGTTTAGTGCCTCTCTGCTTGCTGCCATGTTGTAAGGAGGTCTTGGTGCCTGATTCAGTGCCTCTCTGCTTGCTGACATGTTGTAGGGAGGTCTTGGTGCCTGATTCAGTGCCTCTCTGCTTGCTGCCATGTTATAAGGAGGTCTTGGTGCCTGATTTAATGCCTCTCTGCTTGCTGCCATGTTGTAAGGAGGTCTTGGTGCCTGATTTAGTGCCTCTCTGCTTGCTGACATGTTGTAAGGAGGTCTTGGTGCCTGATTTAGTGCCTCTCTGCTTGCTGCCATGTTGTATGAAGTGCTTGATCCTCCATAATAGGAGGGATGATCTTCATAAAACGTATCTGTAGAGGATTCTTGTACATGATTAAGAAGTCTGTCATGACTTTGAGACTGTCCCCCTAAAGTCAGCCGTGTATCTGGATTCCTCGCTGGCAATGGAGGTCTTGGATTAGGGGTTTCTGGAGAATGAACCGGAGGACGTGCATGCTGTGCCAGGAAAGGGACATCATAAATAGAGTCAGTGGAAGTCTCATGATCAAGAATTGGAGTGCTACTGGAACTCTTCATTGAGTTACCCGTTCTGAAGACCGGATTCTCAAGTGCTAATGCCATACTGTAAGGCCGACCACTTGGTCCATAGGCACTCTGGTTCTGGCTATTGTTTTTCATTATGGCTTTCACAATCTGAGGCTGTCTGCCACGGACATTTTGACTTCTCTCATATTCCCCACTTTGGCCCATGAATTGCATGTTAATTGGAACAGGATTATGTTGGCCGTATGCTTGTTGCGTTCGCTGTCTTTGATCTTGTACATTAAGTGTCCTGACATCCACTTCATTCACTTTGGATTTTCTGTTAGTGCCTCTTCTGAAAATTTGTCAAATAGTGGAAATGAAGTTCAGCTAATGCTATTCCCTCTAATACCTATATGGAGAAATTACTTGAAAAATGGAAAGAAGAGCTAAAAGTAACTTTAGCATGAAAAGAACTTCAGTTTTTGACTATATGATACAGAAGATGT